TGAGACTTTTAAATCTCTACTTAAAACTCACTTTTACTCCCTGGCCTTTCATTCTGGTAGAGTTTGAGATTATTTTAATGATAATGTTTTTAATGTTTTTCTGTATTTTAAACTGATTTTACTGTTTATATTTATGTGTTGCTTAATTGTTTTATTCATTTGGCTTAACTGTGAAGTACTTTGGTCAACTTCTGTTGTTCTTATGTGCTGTAGAAATAAAATTGACATGGACATTAAAATTCATCAGATATTTTGCTAACAGACAAACTGCAACAGTTGATTCAACAGTTAATGACAAAGAGTCACACAATGCATTGCACCTATGAGTGGTCAATGACTTTCAGCTACAATCACACACATTTTAACAAGAAAGGTAAAGTCTCTATAATATAAAGCCATGTTTGTGCTTTTTAAGGTCTGTTTATGAGGATAAAGACCTCCTAACAACAATAAAGGTCCAGTTTATGCTTTAAGAATCAACAATCCTGTGTTTGTGTCTGTATAAAAAGTTAGAAATGGATAGTTTGACTTCAGTAGGGATGTGACTGATCACAAAAGCCTCTCACAAGCCATCCTCCAGGTGAAACAACAGAGTGCCTTTCATCCTTTTTGGCTCCTCCTTCATAAGAACTTGATGCTTATCTTTCCATTAAAGCTTWAAAGCTACAAACACACGTACAGAATGTTGTTACAGTTTGAGTGCACACTTACTTCCACCATCAGTCRGGACAGATTGGTTCACTAAAACACAGTATTTTCCCTGTGAGTGTCAGAGCTAAAGTTATTAGAGTGCAGAGAGAAGCTCACAGAGACCTCTGTACTGAAACAAGGGCTCCATTGAGAAACTCTGCAGGAAAGAACAAAGAAGCTTTCTGTGGCCGAGGCATTCACACCAWATGTAACCTTACCTGGACCAGAGTGATCCACACCTGTTCCACATCTTCCTGATAGCTCAGCCGGACCCACACCTTCCCCAGCTCATGCTCGTCCTCAGACATGTTGATAGAGTCTGAGAATCAGAAGAAAGCAACAGGAAATATTAAAAACTAGAAGCACTGGGAGAGTGCAAACCTCCACCAAGACCAGTTTCCTCCATCCTGTCAGAGTTAATGCACAGAAGCAGAGATGAAACATTTACTGAATAAGTTCAGACGTAGTGAACATTTAAGCAGCAGTATGATGGGGTTTCTTCTCTGTGGAGTTTAATGTGAAAAAACAAAGTCAGACTGGTCACCTGACATTATTCATGGTCAAACTGGTGTGGGATTAAGCTCCTAAGTTTCCATCAGTCACATTTCACCATGTAAAACGTCTGTTTTATCTCCTTGTATGAGTTTGTAATGGTTTGACTCTCTTTATAAAGTGCTTCCTGGCACAGTCGGTACATGAAGCCAGTGTTTTTTGTTTTGTTTTTTGAAGCGAGCGCTTTCAGCACAAACACTCCCACGAACTTCAGAGCAGTCACACAATAAGTTCTTACATGGAGGGGTTACCTGACAGGTTGATGAGATGTTCTGGACTGTGCAGTTTCAGCTCGGCTGCAGCAGGACCCTCCTCCTGCTGTCGGGGTCCTGTTATTCCCATAACGTGAAGAGAATCACATTTCTTTTTGTACGTCTCCAGACAGCAGTAACAATGTCAGAAGTGGTTGATGACAGAATAATCACAACTTTCCTGACAGAAGACATACTGGGATGTGTAGTCCCAGAGAGTTTGTGACTTGTACTTCCTGTTTCCTACAGGCATGTGTCTGATGTAATGACACTGTGTAGCCTGGCTGATGCGCTTGAATTAACCCTCTGAGGTCTGGGGTCTAAATGTCCGTTTTTGACCAACTTCGAATTTACCTCTGTATTTTCACTTTAAAAACTGTTTACCTTGCCATGTTTTGATTTGATTTATTTATTTAACAGGAAAAGATTATTAAAAATCAAGCCTGACTCAGCATAATTGC